GTGTGCTCTTCCGATCTCATTATATTATTCATCTTTTGTGGACAGGGATGAAATTATTACTACTAGAAATTATGTATCATTATCTGAAGCTTTTAGTGAGTTATCATTGTTATCAATTTATTAACCCTCATTTACTTAAAAATATTATCAGTTTGTCATCTTACTCTTTTTGTTATATATTATATAATGTAATATAATATGCATTATAGATTTTCAATATTGATAGTGATTATATCGGAATGTAGCCTAAAAGATATAGAATAGAAAACATTTATAAAAAATAATTATAAAATAAGAAAATATATAACTTATCATTATATTTATCGCACACATAATTCTGGTTTTATATAATACATTGAAAATACATTGTATTTGCACACGATCAGCACGCGATCAGTGCGCGATCTATTGAATAGGTGTAAAAATAATAGAAAATATCCTTAAATAACGATAAAAATAATGGCAAATTCGTTATCGTTACTGTAAAAATAACGACATCACCGTTACAGTTACACCTATAGGAAAAAGGTAACAAAAACACGGCAATTTACAAATAACGCGTTATTTCTCAACCTTGAATATTTATATAGCAAAAAAATATACTCCAAACTCAAATTTTATATAAAATGATGAACAAGATATATCATCTTTATGTGAATACTTCTACTCAAGATACTCAATAAAGATGTTATGTCTTGTTCATGTTTTATTAGACCATCCGGAAATTCCAAGTAGAATGGGAACAATTAACAATGTGAAAAAATTTGATGCGGATTTCTTCGGATTATCTTTCGATCAAGCACACACACTCTCGCCCGAAGCGAGAATGTTACTGGAACATTCTTATGAAGCAATTATCGATGCAGGAATCAATCCGAAGCAATTGCGAGGAAAAAATACTGCTGTAATTATGGGGTCATGTTTTATTGAATCGCAAAAGGACTTTTTATATAAAACCGCCCAGGTAGAGAAAATTATTATTATTTAATATGTATAAGTATATTAGTAAAGAATTATTGTACTAATTATTTAAGAATAAGAAATTATTATGTGCTAAGATTCTGTAATTAGTTAGGAGATCACAATGTTATTGGATGTTGCAAATCTACAATCGCAAACATGATTTCATACCATTTTGATCTGAAAGGACCATCATATGTTATCGATTCAGCATGCAGTTCTAGCCTTTATGCCTTGGCCGTT